TCTCTCTCTCTCTCTCTCTCTCTCTCTCTCTCTCTCTCTCTCTCTCTCTCCGCGGTGTCAAGTGGGCTTCAAGATCAAGATCCTACGCTGTCTGTCAATCTTGCGCATGTGTGACAAAGAGCATTCACAGGTTTGTCATGCTACGGTATCGCCGAGGCTGCACCACGACATTGAGCGACGTCTCCGAGGAGCGTACTCTCGGGATCTCGAAAATAGCATTCACCACAACCGATCTTCGTCGGTACGGGCAGGATCATTACAGAACTACCACCGAAATGAAGCAGGCCGAGCTACCACAGCACCATCAGCAACCGGATATGGAAGATCCGCAGCACGGCCACGTCTGATGTCCTATACGAAACACATACGAGTGGCTCGCTCTCAGTCCCCCAGCAGTGTACCGCCACCGGGAAGCTCCTTCGCTGGATCCGATTGTCGTAAACCTTGCTATCAGCGGCCATTCGATCAAGACCAACAGCATGTCGACCAAGCGGGCAGGTGCGAGCAACGAGAGCAAAACCTTCTGCCGACCACATCCAGGGCCGTAGAAGCCTCAACCACGGTGCCACTCAGCGTCAACGTGGAGACACCGCTTGCTGGTGAAAGCAGCCTGAGTGATGCCGACGAAAGATTGAACTTGTCGACACCCAGCCCGGCGATGGCAGCAGATGAAGACGCAAATACACTGCTGTCTCGAGCACGAGCGGGTACCCCTGCATCGGAAATGGACACGCCAAAGAAGCTGTTGGAGCTAATCGAGGACAGGGACCGGGCACTTCACCTCTGTCTTCAGGTAATATGGGCTCGCCTTTGCTCCATGACCCTGAGAAGTTGTGGACGGGCCACTATTGTCGGTGGAGCTTCGGATGCGCAGAAGTGAAGGATCGTCAACTCGTGCAGTGTAGATCCAACTTGCTTGCATTGTTCTTGAGTCACACGTGTTCTTTTCAAGAACCGAAGCCCCTACTGTTGTAGAGAACGTACCATTTGGACAAACTTGAACTATTTGTACGCATGTAGTCTAGTACAATAGCTCCATGGGAGAGGCACGGGACGCGTCTTCACATAAGCTTACGTGCAGTGTCAAGTACAGAAACGGCGTTCTCTCTTGTCGACGTTTTAACGAGCTCGACACGTTTTGCCGACCTCCTCACACAGTACCGTTGCAAACTGAGGAACACGGAGGGGAGCCTTCGAGCTGAAGAGCGCCTTGCTTCAGAGCTCAAAGGCCAGCTTCGAGAAGCCAACGCTGCCGGGGAAGCAACGCGCAAGGTAAGGGCCGACACAATATCCCGGCACAGCCTTTCCTCTGGGGCCCTCAACTCCGATATCCAAGAACTTAGCACGCCCACCTAAATGTCTGCACGTATGATCGCCTGCATCGATGAGGGTGACATGTGTCTCGGCCATCATCGCCTCCCCCCGATGAATACGCTTACGCTTCCTCTTCCCAAATTACCAGTTGTTCGATCAGGTTATGGATAAAGTTCGAGCAGACGAGGGCCGAAAGATTCGACAGGCGACTAGCTCTCGCGAGGGTGGGTGCAGCAGTGCTACAAACTCAAACTTGCTACCTTAGTAGCACATCCTACAACAGGACTGTAAAAAGTGGTGGTACGTATCCCTCTCTCGTTGAGCGATAATCACTGCACACAGCCATCTAACCATTACGCGTACGTGTTTTATTACCGACCCAGATGATAAGAGCAACGCTCGTTTCGCCGAAGATGCACGAAAAGCCCGGCTTCAGCTTACAAGGGCACGGAGAGATCTGCGAGAGCTGTGGCTGGAGAGAGATGAGCTTGCGAAATTGGCCGGCCAGGCGATCCAGGTGAAAACAGGGAGGAGGACCTTGCAACGCCATGTCATCACACGGGTCAAGAAAGGACAGTGGATAGTTGGTGGCTGTTCCTAACCATCATGAGCGGGACGGCGAGAGCCTCCGTAGTCGGTACCCCAGTTTGCATCTCTGTTTTTTCCAATGAAGCTCATATTTTGAATAGAAATACTAATCAAACAACGCGGTAGCTTGCAACGGGTAGATGCGTCTGCACAGCTTCCGCACCCAACGTCATCACAGGAGATTCCCGAGCCATGCAACTACAAAACTTTCCACGTGGGGAGTAGGGCCCAAATACTAAAAACGTGGTCGTTCCTGGTTTATTTGGGGTTCGAAGAGAGTCGTTTGACGAGCCTTTCAGATTCGGGATGGCTTTCGGACGAACCGTTTACTTTTCGTGCTTCTTGAAAGCAAGCGGGTCATTGTCTATCCATGAACAAGCGTTGAGGATAGATTTGCGATGGGTTCATTCACCTGGGGTATCTCCTGGCCCTGCGAACTACATTTATCCCGCACGTTTTTGTTGAGGCCAAGTCTCCAATTAGCAAGTTCCACTTTTCCCGCTCATGTTATGTGGCTATTTTTCGCAGGGAGAACAATCGGGCTCCAAGCGGATAAAAAAGCTTGAGCTGGTAGTTTCGAGCCTGAGAGAGCAGGTAGCGGCCCTGGCGCTGTCCGAGCACAGAGCAGCGGAGCAGGCGGGGCGTGCTGAAGCTAGGGCTGCATCAGCCGAGGCGGCGGAGCGGGATCTTCGCGCGGCTGTGGAGGGCATAAAAACCGACTTCGAGGTACGCACCACGTCGGTGTCGTAGGCTCTGCTACGAGGGATGCATAGACAGGACGCCACAACTATTAGCGGTGACATTTATTTTGAGGCTGTCGCTGAGGCGTGGTAGTTGTTTTTGTGCAGCTTCTGTCCCGAACTCTGGGGCTTGGGGCCTTTCATGTTGTGCGAGACGAACGGTTTGGGAGGAGAATAGAGGACAACAGCACAAGGTGGGCCTGGGGAAGTGCTGCGAAAGCCGGGAATAGCGACGGTAACCAGGTGGTTGTACTTGCAGTGTCCGGCATACGCGTGGAGCGGTATGCACACAAAGCGAACGTACCGTTGGTACCGTTAGCAAACCAAAATATTTGACAGCTTTCTTCGATTTCCCACTATTATTCTACGCCCAAGTTGCTCCTCGCGCGTGCAAGTATTCGAAGCAAGTATCCACAACAAAAGTCAGCTTTAAATCTATTCAACATTTTAACTACAGATGTCCCACATCCGCCCTCTCAGTAACTACAGTGACTGTCTTGTGCACTAAACACAGCAGTGGCGTCGAGCAGAGATGGACAATCAAACCAGTACGTTGGCGTCGGGTTCAAAATGTGTCCGGCGGGATCACCCAGAGCTCGTAAATACTCGTAGCCCTCTAGAGCCTCCGGTAGCAGCAAAGAGCTTCCCGTCTGCTCCGTGTTTACGCTTCGAACAACCCCTCCTGTCCCCCTCCTCAATCAATTCGATGCCTCCGAAAAACTCAGCCTGTTCCCGTGCAATTTCTCGCTCGTCAACAGGCTCTGGTGCATGAACTCCGTTTAAGGGAGAAACAGATCCGCCAGATGGAAGCAAAAAACGCGACTCTGGCGGTTAGATCGGTGCCAACTTCCCCAACTCCTCGTGGGCACACTCGTTCGCGGAGCCCCGCTGAGACTGGAAACGCAGAGGGCGACAATCAGAGAGTCTCCCCCCGTACCAGAGGCATGACTCCGGAGAGTAAAGGCAGCGTCAGAGTCAAAGAACTCCACAAGAGCCGCAATTCGAGCGTAGACTCATCATCCGCCAGAGCAAAAGAGGCAACCAGCCTAAACACCCGAGCGCTAGCCCGCCCACAGAAGCGAGGCAAACGCGGAGAAGAAGCGTGCATCCCGCCAGGGAAAAACGGTCGGAGGGGCAACTCTCCACACGCCGCCGCTGTCCCCTCCGTCGTGTACCCTGCGCGAAAGCAGCTCGCCCCGCGGAAGTCCGAGATTCCCGGACGCGTGATGGCGATGTCATATCCCCGAGGCGTTAACCGGGTGACGTTCACGCCATCGAACACGCACGTGACGACACCGCCCGCGACGGTGCCCGCGAGCGTTCCGGCCAGGGAAACCGTACGACCGGTGGGACCCATCCCAGAGGAAGCGAGCTGTTGTATGGAAGAGGTCGAGGAGGAGGAGGAGGAAGAAGAGGGGGGGGAGGTTTGCTCGGCTCCGGCCGAGGTGGCTGGTACGGTGACGGACGATGGTAGACGGCCGGAAGCGCAGCTAGACCGGAGTGGCGAGGAGAAGTCGGGGGCGTCCCAGAGATCGCCACCATCGCCGAGCCAGGACTGCGCCGTGCCGCCGCAGAGCCCTTTCCCGCGGCATTGTCGCCAACCGGCCTGCACGTGTTCAGAAACGGCGGCTCCTCCTGCAAGCGATCATCACCCGATCGTTGGAATGTCCAAAACTACCGAGGTAATCTTGGCAGACTTGGGGGGAGCAGCTCCGGAGGATGGGGTGGTGGGACTAGGGAGCGCTGGAGGAACAGAGCTACTCACGACGGACACCGAGACTCGAGAAGGTGCTGAAAACGCTTCGGCGGAAGGTGTTAGTCCTCCTGTGGCCCAGACCGCATCAACCGGCAGGTTTTCCGGCGACGACGATGAGCCAGGAGAAGAAAAGTCTACTCCGCACGGTGGAAAAATTGAAGACGCCAAGAGCGAAGCGGGACACGGGGTCGAAGCCTCCTCCGAACAGCCCGGTCTAGGCAAGGGACGAAGAGACCCGGACGCGGCCGCGTTTCGGCCGAGACTGGTGGAAGGGGTGCCTGTGCTTAAGTACGGCGGAAGGGGCAAGCCGAAGGCCAAGATGTTGTGGGTGACTCCTGACCTGTCGGAGATATTTTACACCCAGGCCGGAAGGTGAGAGAGAGCATGAGGTCGAAATTAGACCAGGCCAAACGGGCCGTGATCTCGCCCAATCACAAGATGTATCCAGGCGTAATTACTTGGGCGCACAGCAGCATAGGGTTACTTTTGCCGTGTAGCTTCGCACAGTAGTAGCCTCAATCGAGGTTTTGAGAAGAACGTGCTTCATATTATCACACGGGAATGTATACAACAAACATACAACAAATGGTTGTTGGCCATATTTTCGGTTTTGGGGACGCCTTATAGGAAGACGTCGCCCCCATCATATGCTTCCCACGAAAATAACCTCCGCAACCTTTCTCAGGACCAAGAACTCAAAGAAGAGCTCCCACATGCCGCTAGCTGGCCTGTGCGCCTCCAAGGGGCGGGGCGACCACCCAGAACCTGCACGCTCGACCACCGACGACCGTTGCTTCGCGCTGGTTCAGGCCGCCGACAGCCTTGGCCACGACAACCCCCACCACAAGGTCAAGGAAGGAGGGGGCTCCGGGAGCGACGGTGCGGGGGCGGACGCTGACGAAGGCGGCGGCGGCGGAGGTGACAGTCCGGCGCCAGGGCGCAGAAGGTGGGGAATCGGAGGCACACTCCCGGCAAACCTCGTGCACGGGAGGCGGTGGCGGGGTGGTTCGGGGTCAGCGGCGACGACCACGGGGCCGACGGAAAGGCTTGGTGCGAGTGCAACAAGCGCGTCGGGAAGCGCGGCAATGGCAGCGGTGGCGGCGGGGCCGGGGGCGGGGCCGGGGGCGGTGCTTCAACACCACCCTGCCGGGGCGACGAGGGAGAGAATGGTGCTGGAGACCACCAATGCCGAGGAGTGCACCGCTCTCGTGGACGAGATCAACGAGCTGGTGCGCCGGGCCGGCCTGCAGCGCGGCGGCGGCGGCTCTTCCGCGCGAGGGAGAGATCTCTTCGACGAGTGGGTGCGGTCGGCCGTGGGGCGTGATGCTCAAGCCGTCGACCCCGGTGCGAACGGCGAGGCGGCGTAGGGTGATCCGAAGGCAAGGAGTACCGCCAGGGGCGACGCCCCGGTCGCTCTCCTTGCTGGGGGGGAGTAGGGTAGCGCTGTTACTAGACTGCGAGTTGGTCGTTCCAAAGTTTGGAGGGACATTGACCCGTAAACCACCTCAAGGGTCTTGTTTCTTTTCGGTTTCTTGAGCTGGGAAAATCTGACGTTTCTTATCTATGGTCGCTCAGTTGGCGAAAGTTAGAGACGAAAGGCGGAGGCAGACGGCGAAGGGAAGCAGAGAGCCTGAAGCGCTTGCAAGCGGTCGTGTGCAAACAATGGGCCAGTCAGGATCTGGACAGGGGCAAGTGGGGGAGGCTTTTGCTTGTCGACAACACCATTTGTCCTGTTTCTTTGGGAGCGTTTTCGTCTACCTTTTGTAGTCTGTGGACGAGTGCGACTGACTATCGCCCCTGTTTCGCGCAAGGAAAGCTCGTAGCTCATAGCATATTTCTCTACTGTTTTCCTCCCTGGAGACGACGGTACAGGCTACAAGGCTTACCCCCAACGAGCTTGAGCTTGAAGAAAGGGTTCATGCCCTGTCTCCTACGTCCCCCGCGGGCAACAACTTAGGTTGGGTCCCACCTTTGGTCATTATTCAGGCTATCACAGCGGCGACGATAGCTGGATCGGGATAGCGCAACCTACCGAAACATGGGAAAGTCAACTGAAAAACAGAACAGAGACTGGTTCCTCTTGCTTTGCAGTAGAAACCGGAGATCGGTCAACTCTAAAACCACGCATTGCTGAAATATGGGGCAAAGGAACGAGGGTGGGGGAGTGGGGTCAAACCCAATCCGTCAAAGAAGCTAAGTCAAGGGGTATGGAATTGTTCTTTTATCGAACCACAGCAGTGACGATGGATCTCCTAGCCTAATTCAGAGTACGATCGATACTGCACTATTACATGGTACCATACATATTTCGATTTGTAGCAAGGCAACAGCAGTGTCACGAAGAAAGATTGTGTTTCTCACAATATATATATGTCCATTCAAACTTGTGGAAAGCGAACAAGTCAGATGTACCCAACGAAGTCGACTTCATGGTCGACGACGGAAAGGAACGGCTCAATCCTTCTCGCGGTAAAAACTAAGGCAATCATCGCAGATGGAACGTTGAGCGAAAACAACGAAAAACTCCTGCCTCTGTGTGCCCCCCGCCTGATGCGTGCAGAACATATTCCGAAACGTGTACCGTATATGACACAAGATAACACACCCCCTGAACCGATTTTCGACGTTCGATTTATCAACAACAGAAAGAGTCACAGCGCCGAAAACGGTGGCGTTGAAGCTGTCTCGTCGAGAGCTCTCCGAACATGTATTGGTTCATCTATACATCCTCTTCGTCGTGGCGTCATCGAGCTCTGAAAATTGGTCCGGGGGTGTGTTATCTTGTGTCATACACGGTACAGTAGTCTACAGACTGACGTCCAACGTGAACGGGACGATTTACTACTGCTGTACACCCACACAAACACGATGCCAATCACACATAAAGGTCCAGACTATTTGGAAGCCTCGCGCTTTCCTCAAATGGCGGAAAGCCCACTACAAACAACGCTTCCCTCTACACTTCGAGCTGCATCACACAGGGACAGCACTCGACAACACAGAAATACGCGACTTGCGGCCAATGACCGATCATCCGAACAATAAACCGGACAATGGTCACGCGCCGGCAGTTCCGACAAATTTAATACTAAATTCATAAACTAAACAATAAAAACATGACGATACGCAAACACCCTACACACCCAACACTTACATCAAACTCTCCCCGACGAACAAACGACAACGCAACAACCGACGTGAAACCGACCAATCGAAATGAATCCGTCGGAAACCCGCTGCGCAGGATACGGCATGATCACAACACATACTTGCTGTAATAACACGTAGTGACAGGGGAGACCCTGGTAAAGTTGTGGCACTGGGTGATTGTCGTCGGTGCCAATNGGGGGGGGGGGGGGGGGGGGGGGGGGGGGGGGGGGGGGGGGGGGGGGGGGGGGGGGGGGGGGCGGCGGCCTGCCATAGTACAGCCGGAAGATCTGGTCTGCGCTAAGGTTACCCACCACGTACAAGAGCGCGAAGCAAATGTTTTGGAGAGAATTTCGAATGACACCTTGCTTCTCCCATCTATGGTATGTATTTTTTTTTTTCACACACAACAAAACCAGGCAGACACGACACGTTGCCGCGAGCGTAAATGCATTCGGCAGCAGCAGTACGAGGCACCAGGGGTTCAACATGAATGCGAGTTCGGAGTTAAAGCCCGCCCGAAAGTAATGTGCATTTCGCCGGCGGAATGCAGGCAGCAGTCCGTCGAAGCACGCCAATAGGGGGGGTGGAAACCCGGGCGAGACAAAAGCACCCGATCGTGGTCGTCATATTGAGAAGGAGGTCGCCCGTTCCACGCCATCGTCCCGCGCACCGTCAGCGATTCCACGTCGAATGTCAAAGCCACCATCACGTCCATGGATGGCGTTACATGATGCGGATAGATTACGTTCGCCGTGGAGCATGAACGGCGTCACGTCATGTCGACATGGTCGGGGAGTGTAGAAAGTCCCGGTTGGCAAGCCGCAGGATGAATGCCGCGGCCGGTGTCGCGGGGTGGGACCGCGAGGGCGCATGCACACGGCAAAGGCACATGTTTCCCGGCGACAGAGAGAGAGAGAGCAGGGCACGGCACGGGAGCAGACGGGGGGGCGGGGGCGGGGAGATCGCATCAGAATGATCATCGTACCCCTCCCCCCCCCCCCCCCCCCCCCCCCCCCCCCCCCCCCCC